TCTCTCGCTCGCTCGCTCTCTTTCTCATTGTTATCCTCTGGCCGACGGCTTTCCCACCGACACCCTCCGTCAGGAAGATTGATCAAAGCGATCCATCCTTGCCCTTGAAGATGGAGATCTGCTCTGGGAATGGTGATTGGGTCTTGGTCTGAGCTTGCATCGAACAAGAGACGATTCTGAGTGCCTTTGCGCCCAAGGTTGTGGCTCAGGCCAAGGCTGGCGCGTGCTGTTGTGAAGCTTCATAAAAACCTCTCATTCTCTGGAAAGATCGAACTCGATGTCTGTGTATCTATCTGCCTACCTACTTACCTGTCTATCTGTCTATCTGTTTATCCATCTATCTATCTGTCCATCTATCTACTTATCTATCTATCTATCTATCTATCTATCGATTATCGATCTATCTATCTATCCATATATGTATTTATCTACTTATCTATCTGTCTGGCTATCTATTTATCTATCTATCTATTTACCGATCCATCTGTGTCTGAATATTCAAACTTGTTCTGATTGTTCTTCTTCTTTTTCTTCTTCTTCTTCTTGTTCTTCTTCTTGTTGCTGACACACACACACGTATATGCATATATACATATATACATACATACATACATATATATGTATCTATGTCTATGTCCATCTATCTATCTATCTATCTATCTATGCATGCATGCATGCACATATGAATGTATGAATGTATGTATGTATGTATGTATGTATGCATGTATGTATGCAGCTATACATGTACATTTGATTTTGGACGGCTTTGGCGTTTGAATTTGAAAGGCAGAGCAAGGGCTGGCCAATTGGATGGCGCTGGAGCTGCGGCACGATCGTGTGCACCACATTTTCAGCCGCCTCTTGGCAGCAGCTGTTCTGTGTAGCAGCTGCATACCTCTCTTGAACGACTTGTTTCATGCCAAGCAAAGTTAGTAAATCAAGTCGCTGAGCTTCAGTGTGAAGATGGGTTGTCATGGGTTGCCCATCGATCCGATTTCCGGCTCAGGGAGACTTCCCAAAGTTACATCCAGTTCCACGCCATGCGGCGGCGTGTGCATGAGCAGGAGGCAACTGCAACTGCGCCAAGCGCGGATGCCGAGGATTCAGAGACGAAGCTTCACGGTGAGCTCTTGGGACAGAGCTTCATGCTGACTAAGTCCATAATTCTCAGGCTTTTGGGCCTGATGTATTTTGTCGCCTTCAAGGTGGCAGCCGATCAGAACCTGGCATTGATGGGTTCGCAAGGATTGACCCCCGTTGCACAGCGCTGGGAAGAGCATAAGAAAACAGTGACAGCTCTTCAAGGTTTCCAGGAAGCTCCAAGCATCTTCTGGTTCGCAGAGCTGAGTGATCAGAGCATGCAGTTGCTTAGCTACTTCGGACTTGCATGCAGCCTTGCGATGATGATGGGGCTTCACTCCTCCATTCTGGCTGTAGCTCTCTGGCTGTCTTATTTCTCTATTGTCACAACGGCTGAGGAAACCGCTTGGTACAGGTATGGCTGGGAGAGCCAGCTGCTGGAAACAGGCTTTCTCGCCGTTTTCTTGTCCTCCCCCTTGGATTTGTCTGCGAGCCCATCACTGCCAGTTCTCTGGCTCTTCCGCTGGCTTTGCTTCCGAATCTCCACTGGTGCTGGTCTGATCAAAGTGCGAGGATCCAGCTGCTGGACAGACCGTACTTGCTTGTGGTATCATTTTGAGACGCAGCCCAACCCATCACCTTTGTCCTTTCTCTGGCACTTCTTGCCGCGAGGCATCTTGTCAGCCGGAGTGGATTTGGACATATGTGTACAGCTCTATGCAGCCTGGTTGGTCCTAGTTCCTGGCTGGGGTCCCCTTCGACATGTGAGGCGCCTCGGTGGGCTCATCCAGGTCTTCTTCATGCTCAATATTGCCATGTCCGGAAACTTCTCCTTCCTAAACCATTTGACTATAGTGCCAGCACTTGCATGTTTGGACGACGATTGCCTCTCCGTCTTCTGTCCGCGGGCAGCGAAAGCCCGCCCTGGCCCTGCTACCCGGGCTCGCCTCGGTGGCCTCGTCCGGTGGACGATTGACCTAGCTCTCGTATCGATTATTGCATATCTCTCCGTACCTGTGGTCCAAAATTTGTTGCAGTCGGAAGGGAAGCGCCAGATGATGAATGCTTCTTTTGGAGCTTTTCGGCTTGTGAACACATATGGCGCATTTGGGAACGTTGGAAAGGAGCGCTATGAGGCTATTGTGTCGGTTTCACACGACAGGAGGAGGTGGGAGGAGCTGGAGTTCCCATGCAAACCTGGTAGCGTCACTCGTCGTCCATGTCTGTGTGCTCCTTACCACTACAGGCTCGACTGGAACATTTGGTTTCTGGGCTTCAAGCCTCACCAAGTATACCTGGAACGACGTGAAACTTGGATGTGGTCATTTTTAGCCAAGGTCTTGGAGGGGGATGCCACGGTGCTTAGCCTGTTGACGCCGGAGACGGCTGTAAGCAAAGCATATTTCCCGGACGGACCTCTTAACGACCGAAAGCTGCCCAAGTTCGTGAAAGTTGACATGTGGAGATACCGAATGCGTGCCCCACTCTGGGTCATTGCACGGGAATATGCACAAAATGGTACAGCCGTGTGGTGGGAGCGGGAGAAAGCAGAAGCCTTGATCCCACCTCTCGAGAGGAATTACACGGTGCTCGTGCGGATGCTGGAGCACGCAGCGATTTGAGATCGGCTCGCCGCATGTTGCATCAGAAACCCGAGCAAATGGCTGTAGAAGTGTGTTTGAGAATCTTGCAAACAGCGGCTCGAGGTGCCAGAGGTGTGCAGGCTGTGTTAGACTGTGTTCACCGCACCTCCAGCACGCACCCCAACTAATCTAGTTTTTTCGACCCTGCAAAGACTCGCAATGCGAGCAGACTGATAGCTGATAGCACCAAGGAATGGTCTTCCGCAAGGCCAGGCCGCCTGCCGGCACTCCTGGGCTTCCTCGTGCGAAGTCTGCGCAGTTTTCGGTGTTACCAAGTTTCCAGGCACAGAATCTTTGTCTTCTCCGTGGTGATGCTTCACGAATTGTTCCAATGCACCTGAAGCCAGCATCGGTGCAGCTCGGCAGTCCCAATTCGACGATAACTACCCTAAGTTTAAGCTTCTGTGCCAAGAGGCTTGGTTGGGTAGATGGAGAGCGGCTAAGAGTTCCCGCGGCTAGCGCTGAGTTTGAACAGGGGCAAAGTTTGTCGGCTTCGGCATGCTTGCATCCGGTAGCGACGGCCTGCCCTGGAGACTCCACCACGCAACACGGAAATCATGCAGTCGGGGCTGCCTTGCTGAGATCGCACGTCTTCATCAACTTCCCCGAGCCACCTCACTTTTCAGGACACGGAATGCTTGGACGGTGATTGGTAAAGGGCGTGTTTTATTTCCGAGCTGCGGCATTGCAGAAAGCACGTTGAAAGGAGACGAGGCTGCAGAGAGCAAGAGTGAGCTGTTGACGAGCGGCTTCTTTTCTCAGCTTCCCGCCGCAGTCTGGGACTTGCATGTTGTGCCGTCTCTCAGCTCCAGCACTCAGGCTCCACCGCGTGTTGCAGCAGCATGGCAAGCTCACGATCCTGTCCGACAACTGGAGGCCCGGAGCAGAGTGCAGAAGCCGTGTCATGTCGAGGGCTGCATGTCGCCAGCATGCAAGCTGCTGGCTGGCCAGAGCGAGAGTGTCCGAGCATGTTGCAGTTTCGATAAGGCGAAGCACATTCCATCACCATCTTCTTGTGGCCCAAGTCTCACTTGCAAGCAGGTGTTCACTGCACGACATGGACAGGGCAAAGCCCCGAAATTCGCATCGCCTCATAGCAGTCGCTCCACCCACAGCGTGATGGATGAGGGCGCAAATTTTCAGCCCCGACGGTGAGACCCAAAACGACGAAGGCGATGGACTCGGAGATCTTCCAGAGGAAGTTAACGACGAGACACTGGATGACTTGGACTTGGCAGCAGATGCCTGCGAGGATGCTCAAGCAGCTTGGGAAGCCTTCCTGGAACACTATCCATCTCGGCAGGCTGCAGGTGAGGCCATCTTTGCTTCGGTTTTCGATGTAAACCCCAGCTTGCAAGTCCTCTTCAAAACGCCTACATCTGTACTGTCCACGAAGTTTGTGAATGGCTTCTCTTCTGTCGTGTCGAACGCTGGAGATCCGGCCTCTTTGAAGCCTCTCGTGGAGACGCTGGGCTTTCAGCACATGGACTTTGATATAAATCGGCAGAAGATCCAACATTTTCGCGATGCTATCGTGGATCTTCTTGAAATGGATCTGGGGGGCACAGTGACAGCAGCGGGTAAGTACGGAATAGCAGTCCTGATCAATTACGTCGGCGGTGCGTGCATGTTTATTCGAAGAGAGTATGCGGCTCGCGTGCGTATCATTCATTCCTCCTGGGCAACGGCTACGAAGTCGGAGGAGCCCGAAGAGGAGCCGGAGAAGAAGCAGGAAGGCTCTCAGTCTCCTGAGGACGGCGACGAAGAGAATCCCGAGAATTCCCAGGCTCAAGCCCAAGGTGCAGAGGCTGCTGGCAATCCAGCAAGTGTTCCGACGGGTTTCTTTGACGCTCAGACTTTCCATCATTCGCCAACGTGTCTATTTAATGTCTTGAACCATAGATCCCCGTGTCGCGTTGGACTCGGACCGCCACCAGCACAGGAAATGTTTATGTTCAACGCGGCTGTGATGGGGTACAACTCCGGTCAGCAGTGGATGGACTTGATACTTGAGCAGCTTGACAACATTGCCGCGAAGCTGCAACCTACCACTAGTTACTACTAGTTCTCGGTTAATTAGACCCAGCCTGCGCCGATGCGGCAGCGTGAGTTGTTGAGTCGCCTTCCCTGTGAGGTGAAGAACATTGCCAACACCGCCCGTGTGCAGGAAGAGTGCAGCACGCTAGCACTGAGAGTGGACAAGTTCTCCGCACAAGTGGAGTTCAGGGAATTCAAGTCCGTGGCCATGTCTTCGCTGAAGGCCTGCGTGGCAGACTGGGGCGACGAGCATGAGGTCGCCTGGGATTGGCTCTGGGGGCATTTGGACCGAATGTTGACGGAGTTGCGTGGCAAGCCATCGACACACACGAGGCGACTCGGCAAGTTCTTGGAGAACCTGTCGGAGGAAGATGCCCAGGAAGTCCGTGAAAGTGTTCACCAAAGCTTCTTCAAGCTGGCTCCTGCAGGCCAGGACTACTTCAAGCAGTCGAACACGCGCCTCTACTTCATCTCCCAGATGGTTATCGATCTGAGCCTTCGGCTTTACGAGGAGCCCGATGAAAGCATCCGGCAGATCTCGGAGCTTGGCCTGAAGCACGTGGGTTTGTCCATCCCCACCGAGTTCTTCCCACCGTTTGTGACCGCCGTCACGATGGCCTTCTCGAAGGTCTCGACGTCAGAGGCCATCACCGAGGCCTTCCGCTGGTCAATTGCACTCATCGGTAAAGTCCTGGCAAGAACCGTCATTGAAGGCGCGGGGCGGGGTCGACTGAAAGTAGGGCCAAGTAGGGTCGACACAAATCCTGGCCTGGCCCATGCGAGGCTCTACGCTTGTCATGAAGGCAGTTACGACTGACGACGACGTCGAATTCAAGAAGGCAATCGCCATTGCTCCACGTGGGAAGCGCGCTTCGCAGATCTTAAACATCACAGTTGGCACACAGAGCATCTCACCCTTGTACTGGGCGATAGACAACGGGAGCTTGAAGGTAGCCGGTGCGATGTTTCAGGCGCGTGTTCGAAACTATCGCTTGCCAGGGTCGAATTTGATGTTTCTAGCTTGAGCATAGCATTCCCGCTTGTTTGACGGGAGGATCTGCTCACCATTCGGGCTGATCGGACCGTGTACTTCTATGGATGCGACGCTTTATTCCAGCGCCATCCAGACGTTTTGCATTATCTCATCGTCCATGCTCGGTCTCTCATCCAACCGTTCCTAGATGGTTTGATTTGGCGGTCAAGGACGACTATCGAAGGTCAGAGGCGCATCAACTATTATGTCAAGCACCTGATTCAAGACGCAGACGGGAACTTCAGCCAAGCGCTGGAATGGGTAGCTGAAAGTCAAGACGCCGAGCTGGCGTGCCATCCAGTTCTCTTGCTAGTCTCTGACACCATTTGGGATGGGCTGGCGAGCCGATTCTTCATTTTAGATCGCTTTGCCTACATGTTCTTTTTGTTGCTTTTCATCCTCAGCCAGTCCTTCCTACAACATCTGAATGGTGGGAGTCCAGATTTGCCCGTTAGAGTTGCCACCTTCTCTTGCCGCATCGTCGTCTACGTGGGCAGCCTGGCGCAGCTGCTGTATCTACATGCTCGGCGGCTTCGTTCAGAGATTCGGGACATACGACATGGTAAAGAAAACAGCATCACTTGGTGCTGCATGGTTCCGGTGCCGTCCTACCTCCTGAATGTCCAGAACGTTTTAAAGTTTCTACTGCTTCTGTTCCTCGTGCTAACATGTGCCGTTGATCCTATGATTTGGTGCTTGGCAAATGGAGGCGGCGAGCTCTTCACACAAAATTGTTCAGCTGGCTCACGGCTTCAGGATGCGTATTCGACGCTATCCATGATGACAATGCTCATCTACTGGCTCATCCTCAGTGGTCTATCCATTTTGTCGATGAGGCTTGCGGCTTTCGCTCTTGGCTGTGCTCAGGTGTTGGAGGAGCTGGGTCTGTTCTTGGGGGCACTTGTCTTCCTTATTCTTATGTTCGCGAGTTCCATGAGCTGTTTGGACCACAGCAGCGCTGCTTTCACGGGCATGCCGAAGGCCAGCATTTCCCTTTGGGAGATTTCAGTGGGCATGTTCAGTCTGAACAGGCTGGAGGGTGTCAACAAGGATCCAGTGTTGCTCCTCATGCTTGCGGTATTCGTTACGCTCGCCGTTGTCTTTTTGCTGAGCCTGCTGGTGGCACAGTTCTTGGGCGTGCTCCTGACCCGCCATGAGGACATGGTGGGCTATGCACGGCTGAAGCGGTGTAGCGTCGTCGTGTCGACTGTCCGGAGCCTCTCCGGAAAGCGCTGGGCAGACTTTCTTGAGACTCTGCAGCTCGAAGAGCCGCTGGAGTTCAGTGAGGGGGACATCGGCTTTGCGGGCGGGATTCAAGTGACGGAGCCAGCCTCCGACCACCCCACATCCACCGAAACCATCGTCCGATTTGGTGGTTCCGCCTCTGCCTCCATGCCGTGGCCCGAGTCTTCTGACTTCCAAGAGGATCCCTACGAGGTCTTGGAACGTCAGATCTTGCATCTGGCGAAGAAGACGACGGCAGGCGCCCACGACCGAGACAGGCCAATGACCAAAGTCAGCGGTTCTCACTCATCGCAGGCGTCCAGTGTAGCTTTGTCTGGTGTCGACAGCCCACACAGTGATCATACAAGCGGATCCACGGAGTAGGTCGCCACGCAAAGTCAAGGCTGTGGAGCTGGCCTATGGGCTCTTGTGATCTGGCGTAAATGCAATCTCTACAATGCTGATTCCCTCTGGGAGTGAGGAGTGCGAGGAGTTCGTAGGAGCGCATGTCCAAGACATGCCGCTTCAATGTCAGCGCTGCCTCAGCAGCGCTTGAGGTCAGATTCGGGCGGGAGAAACAAAAAAAGCTTTGTCCACGATCTGACATCCGAGCTAGCTTCTCACGCTCTCAGTAGACGGAGAAGCAGCTGGACGTTGAAGCTCAGACCCCTGGGGCTCTCATTAGGCAGTTGCAGGGTTTTTATCTGGCAGGTATGTCCGACGTCTTGTGCGCACGCTTTCACAATTGTTGGACGAGAACGAGCAGCAGCTCTTCCTGCCACCTCCTTCAAGTATAAGCCATACCGGGACATCAGCTTTTGCGCACTTCACATGTGAATGTAACAAGAATCGAATTCTTCAGGTCAGCCGGGCCCTGCATTGCGAAATCTGCAGAGCTCTACGAGCATCTGCCGCTCGCCTGTGGCCTGTCGCACCTGCTTCCATGCCAAGGATGCTGTAGAATCCCTGGAACAGGTTCGACATCGATGTGTTCTGCGGCACGCCGGATGAGCACGTGGGCCACACAAAACAGACGCACCCCAGATCACTTTACTCTTTGGTTGCTAGCTCCCCTTGGCTTCGAATGTGATGTAGCTATTGAGCCTTAGCCACTGGTGGCCCACCTGGCCAGAGCAAGACAGCTGTGACAAAGGACCTCATACTTCGACCGCTTATGGACAAAAGGGCAGCATCTGGACACTCTGAGAGAACTGGATGGGCCGGTCTGTTTGCGAGTTTTGCATATGGCGGCATGTCCGGCATCCGAAGCACAGAACGCAGGTCCCTTCACCATGCCTGACTTTGCTGACAACTCAGGAGAGATACTACTTCATGGTTCAGAAGGCTTGAGGACAAGCTCACTACGACAAGCCAAGAACCAGTCCCCGATCTCTGCCGACTGACCATTCTCGTTTGCCGCCGTGCAAGTCATCAGTGGTGGTTCGCTCAAAGCCAGCGCAGGAAAAACAGATCTTTGACAGTTTTTCGCCTTTAGCACCAAGCATGACGTCCCAGCCATTCAGAACATGTTTGAGTTATGTTGCTGAAAAATGTAGTACCAATGTAAGTCTAAGCGTGAGTATAATTACAATTACACAAGCTGTTGAGGCTCCAGCGAATGGCCGTAACCAAACTTAAATACACAAGTTCAAGGTAGTATACCGAAGCAAAGGAGCATAGCAGAATACGTAAATAGTTTAGTACATACACCTGTAGAGCGGCTATGATTGTAGCAGGGACAATGGAAAAATGATATGGCAGAACCCTGAGGTCACTGCCAGCAGCTGGCTGTCCGAGCACAGGAGCAGAAGGATACTCAAGAGCAGCTGCTCAAGCTTCAGCAGGCCTGGATCGCATTTCGCTAAAGTCCAAGTTTATTGTAAAGTTACCAGTTGGCTGTGTTGTAAGGGCTCTTCTCGGGGATCCAATAAGGTTTTGGGGTTAGGGGCTGTCTGGGAATGGAAGCATCTGAGGCCCACTCTCAGAGCCCTAGCCTCAGTTCAAGCTCGCACTCCTCCGATGTACAGCACGCAGCTCTCGCAAGGCTTGGCTCGCCAAGAGGAGATGGAAGGCGAACGCCAAACTGAGGCGGAGTCGCACGAGGTGGCCGCAAAGAAACTCCAGAGATAGACGCCCGTGCTGCATGGAGTGGTGCTGCGTCCGTCAACGGCCCAAGCTCCATGCAAAGAGAGCACCACCTGAGAACATGGTGCGCTGGCGGAGTTCTCATGATTCAAGCCGACATTTATTCGGGTTTCTGGGACTTAGGCACCTCCTAGTTTTGCCCGACATCCCTGACTACACCGGGTCGCACGTTGCAGAGTGTAGGAACTCCAGCCATGAAGCGCTGCGACTGTCGAAGGGCGGCACAGCCACGACGAGGCGTGCGCGCGGCTTCTGTGCGCATGGAGGATCGGGAGGCAGCCCCACCTGTGCTCATGCTCAGCCAAGTCTACGACGGCCTGAGTGAAAGGATCTTGACAGCATTTGACACCCCGGCCCTGGCAAGGTAAGACAGCTGCTGCCCTTGCCGCATGTCTCTGGCATGGTCGCCTCGCCCTCGCCAAGCCAGCTTCGAGCTTCGTCTTCCAGAGTCAACTTCTGCCTTCGCGCAAGCACCCGAAGCTCGCACCCGCCCGTGGTTCCTTCCCTCTTTGTGTGAGTGGGCAGCGTCTGGAGGGTTGCCGAAGGTCTGGGTCCTGACAGCAGAACTGCAGGCTCTGGGTTGCGTTACCCTTCTGTGTCCTATGGTCATCTATGGTCCTGTGTGTGAGTTGAAGTCAAGTCAAGTCCCCAACCCTTTCAAACTAGGATTATCACTCTCGGCGGATACCGACATGGCGAAAGCCCCTGCGTCAACGAGACAGCCTGGTGCAGTTCACAAAGGAGACGAGAGAGCTTCGGGTATTTTGAGTTTTGGGGCCCCAGAGGGCCCTCCCCCTCATCCCTCTGTGCAGGATATTTCTCAGGATGGATCCGTGCGAAACTGGGAAGACGTCTTGGCGCTGTTGGCGATGTTGCCGTCCCTTCGACTTCGGCCAGATGAGGCGAGGGGCCACCATCTTGACACCCTAAACCATGGAGTTCCCCAGGTGATCTTTGCCAGACCCGACTCAGGTGTTCTTCGGAGCGACTCTGGGCCGGTGGCTTGATGGCATCCAGAGCCCCTTTTGAGAGCTCTCGCGACGGTTGCAGTGAATTTTCCTCATGCCCCAGGCTCGGCAAGGACTGTGCGGCTGCAATTCTCCGAAGGGGTAGAGTGTATTGAGTGAACGAAGCCTCTGCGATGGTGCAATCAGTGTCGGATCTCCAGGAGAGGCAATGGCATTTTGCGCTGGCCACCCTTGAGTCCATGACTGTTTGTGAAAGCTTGCAGCCCAATCTCATCACTTGCAGTGCAACAGCCGAAGCCCCAGAACTCAGCTGACTCAGTTGGTCGGGAGTGCTGCCTTTTTGCCCACACGACCGCCACGGTCTTGAAAGTAAACGGATGCGTGTGCTTGGATTTGCGCGTTTTGGATTTCAGTGGCAAGCCTCGCATTGCGGTCATGAGCACTGTCTTGTGAGTCAAGCTGGGTAGTAAGGGCAGCAGTCGAGTCCTTTGTGGGAAAAAAAGTCACCAAACTTACTGCAACAACAGGTGCAGGTGACAGGCTTGCCTCAACCCGTGTGGGTCAGACGGGTGGGCCACAGTTGCGCCTGTAGCTCGTTGATCGGCCCCTGCATGACGTTGAACACGTGTCGAGGGCAACCGGCACTGATCATCCGGAAACGAGCCAAAGCTCAAAAGTGATGCGCGAAGAGAACAGGCTCATGTTCTGGATGGAGTGTCGACAGCCTTCAGTACTCAATCAAAGCTTCAGCGCAGCGGACGGGCCTGAAGTTGCGAGATACCAAAATCCCACAGGACCCAGCGTAAAGTTTGCATCTCGTCTTGACCTTTATCCTGGCAGTCTTGTATAAGCAGTTCGCTACCAAGATGTGGGCTGGATGCCAATACTTTCCTTGCATCGTCTCCTGTCCGAGCCAGGTGGCAGCATGCGCCAAAGCTCTGAAGTGGTTCCGGGCTTGCGCCATCCTGGCCCACATGAAAAAAGACCGCAGCATCGAGACCAACACCATCGCTTTCGATTCGGCAACTCGGATGTTTGATGTGTTCCGCGACACTGCGCAAACGAATGCTGCGAGACGAATTGAATGAGTCGTCCGCCTGCGGCAAACGAAGTGAGGCGATCACTGCCTGTGGCGGCCGCAGCGGTAGCTGGGCACAAGCGGTTCACGTCTACGACATCCTGAGGGCGCCTCGTTCGCCATGGCTCGGAGGCCACATGGACAGTTTTTTTCTCATCGCCCTGATCTGATTAGGTGCAGGGTCTGGCACCGATCAGCATGACCTACAACTCTGCCATCAGCGCCTTCGAGTCTCCCAGCTGCCAGTGTTCTCTTTGGGCAGCATCGGAGCGATGTGGGATACACAGGTATCGCCAGCATTGGCAGAGAGGGCTCGAGTTTTTGCAGGACGGCAATAGTCACAGTTGACCGTACAGATGAGAAAACCTGTGATGCTCCAGACCGCTCGTGTGGATCGGTAGGAGCTCTTTGTACACCGCCCTGGCAAGCGCATTGCCGCGAACGTGGTCAGCTTCAATGCCGCTCTCGCTTGCTGCCGCAAGGTGCTTGGGCAATCTGCTTCTGGAATCAAGAAAGTATTACACCCACACGAGCATCGCGAAGCATTCGCAAGGCTAACAACAATCGGCAAACTCTCAAGTGCTTGCACACCCCTTTCATCCCGCGTGTGCCTGTCTTTTCCCCAAAACCCCTGGGGGGTTGGGTTCTTGTTTAGGTTTAGTTTTTTTTCCCGCGGGGAAGCGTTCACCAAAAAACGTTACCGTGGACCGGAAAAGCCTTTTAGCGAAGAGGACGCGTCCACCGCATCGTGTCGACGGGCCGTGGACGGGGACGGGTGGGGAGCTCTGGGTGTCGAGCGTTCGCGGGAGGACGTGGCTGTGGACGGGGTCTCTGGGCACCGAGCGTTCGCGGGAGGATGTGGTCATGGACGGAGACAGGTGGGCAGCTGGGTGCGGAGCGTTCGCGAGAGGCCGCGGACGGGGATGGGTGGAGAGCTCTGTGGGGAGTGGCGTTCGCGCGTGGACAGGGACGGGGGAACTCGAATGGGAGCAATATGCACCTCCTTACAATGGTATCTGAACACCGAGCCAGAGGCCCGTGAAGAAAGAAGAGTGCTGTGCCCGCAGACCGGTGCAGAGTCCCTCTGACCGTGTTTTCTTCTCTCTTCTCGCAGATCGCGGCTTAACAGACAAGCCCTGCAGTGGACGTGTGTGCTGCTGAAGTCACTGGCATGGGCGTCGAAGCCAACTTTTGCCTTTGATCGATGCAAAGCCTAAGGCTGTGTTTAGCGTAGTCGTGATGTTGCATTCGCCAAGCGTGCTCTGAGTTTCTGCGAGGATAGATGCTCGCTGTGGGACACTCGCTTCGCCTGTGCGTTATTGTGTGTTGTCCAGCCAGGTGTCACAGTGGCAGTGGGGCCTGCACCTTTGGAAGGGCGTGCGAAGGCATCTGGAAATCGACGCTCCGCACCTCAGGGAGGCCGGTGACTTGGGCCCAGAAACAAAAGCGCGTGAACTCAGCGAAGGTGGCCGGTCAGGCCTAGAATCCTAGAAGTTGCAGGACAAATCGGCAGATGACGTGCGGGCGGCTTACTCACTGCAATCGGCCCTCCTTGCTGGTCGATTTGCGTAAACAAAGGTTAGGGCCTGCTTTACTAGGCCTGAATGCTTCCGAGACTTGTACAGACTGTAGAACCCACAAAGCAAGGACTTATGGATGCGCAGTCAGCGCCTGCGAGACTTGGCTTGGGCTTGGGAAAGCAGAAACGGCATCGAACGAGAGGATGGGATTTTGGCACCAAGGATCATGGCTGGCAGTGGCAGTGGGGCCTGAAGCTGCTTTGTGAGGCCGTCTCTGCTGGACTCCGCCTGGGCATACCCACCATGAACTCGGCAATCAGTGCCTCCGCGTGCTTGGGCGTGCATTGGTGAGCCTTCCTTCCGTCACCGGTCACCAGTCTTCACCTTGATCATTCCCTCCCACAGAGACCAGAGATCTGACCGCAGACTCACTAGACGACTCAGGAAAAGCAAGAAGTGGCCCACGTGCCTAGCACTTCTTCGCGAAATGCCGAGTGAAAGACTTGCTGCAGCCTCAATCCACTGAAGCACACAGGGCTTTCGCTGCTTTGGCTGGCTCGCACGCAAACCCGACCTTAGGCGCCTACAAGGGTGAGCTTCACAACCGCCTTGGGAGCATTCAGTGGCCCCGGCATGACCCGGTCGAAGAGCAGCCTGGTGTTGGAGGTGTCGCATCGCACAGCTCCATGCCAGTTGATTCAGAGTGTATTCGTCCTAGTCTGCTTGTCTGCATGCAGTTTGCAGTTCAATGGGAGATGCATTGGGTTGCGGCAGTTCAAAAGCTCATGTGCCCTGAGCTGTTGATGGAGATGATCGAGCAGAAGATCCAGCCCAATGCTCTTGGGTTGGATATCGCAACTCAAGCGGCTGAGGCTGGCTACTCAAACCCAAGCCACACTTCCCGGCACATGTGAATTTTCCTGAGTTTGAGGGGTGGGCAATGGGCAGACATGGGGAAACCAGGCATCAGCCTTCCACTCCCTGGCACCCGGTTTGGTGGCCCAGACACGCCTTGCTGGTGCTGCAGCATGCGAAGCTACTGAAGACACGTTCGAGGACTTGGCAGAGCCTTTCTCGGTGATCAGCTGAAGATCTTGATCGGTTGCTCAGGAGGAGGACCGGCATGGAGAACACTCGGGCTTTGCGATTGCCCTGGGCTAAGCGGCTTAAGGCTCAGAAGGATCTTGCCCTCCCGGCCCTCATGCGGCCACGAGGTTGCTGCAGATTCCTTGGAGTGGCATGGGCTGTTGGATGAGCGCTTCAAGGCGTCGCTGCAGCGGAGGCTCTGCAGAGCATCAGCCAGGAGGCACCGAGCTCTGCCCCAGTGCGTGAACTCCGCATAGCAAAGTCTCCGTTTTGCTATCGGCTCGCAGCAGCTCGCAGTTCAGGCCCAGCTTGCGAGGATGAGCTTGTCGTAGTGTAGCCGCGTAGCATTTCCGCATCAGGGCCCCCCCAAGCCCAACATGTGCGTTGCTTGGCGGCGTGGGGCCAATGCAGAGTGACTCGATGCAGCTGCAGCAGGAGAGGGATCGGGCGGAATGATGCGCCAAGGAGACTTCTGCTTGGCCGCCGCTTCCGCCAGTGCAGGAGCTCCTCGCTTCCGAACGAGCACTCAGCAGCTGCCGGTCGGAGATCCACTATGTCCCCAAGCGGCAACCGGAGCGGAGAAGCGGAGATGTGCAGATGTGCAGAGTGAGAGGGCAGCATTCCACGGTCCGAGGAGCGGCAGTCGGCGCAGAAGCATGCGATGGCCCTGCAGAGAGGTGAGTTTGAAGTGCAGCGAGCTCGAGAGCACAGCGAGTGGCTGGAGGTCGAAGGCGCGTTAGAAGGGGAAGGTCTTGGAGTGCTGTCAAAGATTGTTCATGCATTTAATTGCTGGTAGCTAATGGTCGCGAGGTTCCAGCGTATCGGCGACGGTAGTCGAGGAGGGGCATCCATTTTCCGGCCATGTCTGCAAGCTGCCCTGATCCACACTCCCAACCCTCATGCCAGGACTTGGAAGCAGCCTGCTCACTCTGTTCAGAGGCGAGGTGTTCTGCAGAGGATGCCCGGTACATGCAACAAGAGTCCGTCACCTTGGCGCAAGTTGTGTTGGAGTCTCATGCCATTCTGGCTGACTATGGCGCTTCGCTGGAGACTGAAGCTTGGAGCAACTTTTTTGGTTCACACATCGTTTCAGAATCGTTCTATCTCTTCCGATAGGTTTGATTTCTTAAGAGCTGGCCTCGAGAAAGTGTCCAGTTTGCTTTGCGCCAAACTTTGAGGCCCGCAAAACGAGGGAACTTGCCGAAGAGTCTGAAGCTCTGCGTAACTCACTGCACTTTGAGAATGCCTTGGCGACGGAATTTCGGCAGCAGCTGCGGGAGGAAGCCAAGTCTGTCAAGGACACTGGGGCAAAGCGAGCTTCCCGATTCACAGTCTGGGACTCATGGAATAAACCCTAACCCTAAACCCTAAACCCTAAACCCTAAAAAAAAACCCTAAAACCCTAAACAAAAAAACCCTGGGGAGGCCGTCTTGGTGGAGTACGCGCGCCTCCGCGGGCGCCGCGAGGACGCCCTCCGCGGCTCCGCCCTGGCTTTGCGCGGCCAGGCCCAGGCCTCAGAGGCCTCTCTCTCCATAAGCCCGGGTCTGCTCGAGCCTTTCCTTAAGGAAAGATCGGAGATTTTGCCTTTTGATGCCTTTTGTAAATTTTGGCATCTAGAGATGACGCAAGGCGTGAACAGCTTGAACCGGTTGCTACCGCAGCCTCGAAGCTGCTCTCCATGGAGATAAATGGGAGATACAGGGTATTCTCTTGCCTTACATTGGCCCTCAGCCCTGAACCACCCTGCCCCGACCATTTCAGTTCCGAGATCATGGCCCGAAATCCCAGGATGGTGCCTGCCTTGGCGCGGCTGTAGACCTAGAAACTTTGCGAAATTCGCTTCACTTGCTGGACGGGCAGCCCTCGACCAGAGACGCGATGCAGGCACTTGGGTTGTGCTGCACACACTTCCCCCCCGTTCACGCCCCTGGCCCAAGGCATCATTCTATGGGAGCCATGGGAGCAGCCTTCATTCAGACCCTGATGCTAGCCCGCAGAGCCCGTCGATGACCACTGCTGACTTGACGCTAGCCTGCGCGGATGCGGCTTGGCGTGCCTTCATGAGCTTCAAGTCCGACCAGTGCCGGGAGTGTGTGACTGAATCTGCACGTCGCACTTGAGGTATCGCCCCTGGCTCGTGTGTCGCAGATCTCGCAGGAGTCAGCGCTGCTTGACCAGTCTCAAGCTACGCTCTCCAATGGCCATTTGTCCGACGAAGTTGATGTGGATGCTGCTCGGTTTGAAGGGATCTTGAGGTCGAGGCAACCTCACCTGCAAGAAGAGGAGTTCCTTTGTTTGTCGCAGGTTCCACTCTCTGGTGAGATCTTCTCTCAGAGGGGCAGTGGCGCCGGCTCCTTTCTGATGGATGCAGAGAGCCTGACTGGGGAGGTGCCCGGGCTTCATTCTTGCGTGCAGTTGCGCAACCCAGTGCAGACTTTCCTTCGCCGAGGCTTGCAACCTTAGCCCTCATGCTGGGACGGAATTGGTCGAAGATGGAGGTTTGATCCGCCGGAGCGTCGGCGAGAAGGCCGCTCAGTCTTCTGTCTTTGTGGCGAACAATCTCTGGAGCCTGGAGCTCTTGCTTGCACAGGATGCCATGGTGCCCGACGACGTGGAATCCCCTGACCCACCGGATGATGGTCACCTCAGTATCTCCACAACCTTCGAGGCTCCGGACGCAGATGCCCCTTTGTCTGCAGGGGAAGTACCCGAATTAAACGGCAGGTTCTAATTAAGGCCCCTCGTACAGCACTCGCAGCACTTGCGAACCTCTCACTTTCCCCCGCCACATGCTCTCGGCCAGGCTACCAAGGAGGCCTCTCCCAGGAGCGATGCACCGGAGGGAGAGCTGCCTGCCACCCGGCGGCCCAGCGAGCAGGCGTGGAAGCTGAAGCACGGCGGTTTTAGGGGGGCCGAAGAGGGGGGGCCGAATAGGGGGTCGAGAGAGGAGAGGAAGCTTCTTAGCCCGGAGGCTGTGCCCGGAAGCAGAGATGCGGAAGTGCAAACCGAGCCGGAAGCCCAACCTGAGAAGGCTGCGAAGGCCTCAGAGAGAGCCCACAGCATCGCCTGAATTTTCGAAAACGTGCTTTGCAGGCCCCATCTACTCCGACGGTGCCCGCAAGAAGCCTACGCAGCGGGCAAAGTTTCTCTGACATCGGAGACGTCTCGCTGGGCCGCAGAGCGACTTCGCCGGCCAGGAGCTGCAGGACAGCGGCTGGTAGGCACGAAAAAGCAACTTCGCCGGTGCGAAGCCCCATGACGGCAACTGGGAAGCAGCGAAGCATCAAACCCCTAGTTGGGTCTTTGTCTCCCGGGCATCGATTTGTTTGGCCTCTGCTTTGGCCGACACTCGAGGCCAGCCAAGACTCAACTGCCACAAGCCCAGCGAAGGAGAGATCTCCTCGTGGTGGCGATTTCGCACCTGGCACGGACAGACAGGGGAATGCACAACGACGCAGAGCAGTGTCTCCCAAATTTGAGCATCGTGCACAGGTGTCCGGGCCATGTATATGTTGGTGTTTGGAAATGCAGGACATGTCAAGTTGATGGCCTGCTGCCTGAGGTGGAAGCAAAGGCCACGCCTCGAAAGGAACGCAAGCCCTTCAGACCTTCAAGCCCCACGCCGCGGCTCATTACCAAGCATCCGCCCTCCACTTTGCACAAATCTCCGCTCGCTGCGGTCCTTGGCCCTCCTCCCGAGTCTCGGCCAAGCGAGGGGCAGGGCCAAGGACCTTTTTTGCCGTCTGCAGGCTCCGCTTCATGCCGGAGCCCTTCACAGGTTGGGAGTCCTGGTTGAAGCGGCCACGAGAGGACACGGAGCTCGGATTGGACGTGGGCGGATAGGCGGTCAAGAGTGGCAAGCGGCGTCCACCTGAATTTCGGTGTTGGCATGCCAAGAACCCCGTCCGCAGCGGCATACTTGCGATCTATGCCGATGGAGGCACATCATCTGCATACCCATTGCGCAGGATTCACCGGGATCTTCGACGAGGCCCGCGAGATCAATCGTAGGAGCTGTAGGGCGTCTGCGAACGTGTGGGACGGCGCAGTCCACAGAAGGCACGAGCGACAAAAGAGCCGTTCGTAAACACTCCATAGGAGCAGAGGTAGGGACCTGATGCGCGGCACATCTCGGAATGGTTCCAACCGCTCCTGACCCATGTGCAAGTCCGAGCCCTGTCGAAGCTTGTCATGGTCGACCAGCCTTATCCGTGCCGCTTAAAAAACTTATGCCCTAGATTTTATGGGTCAAAGGTAATACGCTTCTATCCGTGTTTCATTGGGTACCGTTTCAGACACGGCAAGACTCACAATGTCTTCGTGGATGAGCTAGCGATGGATGGCACAGCTGGAGCGGCTTCGGGCCATGCAGCTTGGAACTGCACATTCTGCTAATCACGGCCTTTTCGGTGAAGTACTGAACTTGGACATTGTCATATCGCAAAGCAATCAAGTGAACGCACCCTCCGTCTCGCTTCAAAGCATGAGACAAGGAGCAGGCTTCTCCGGACGATCTTCGCCAGCATCTTCTGAATGTAGCCTAGATGCAGTTCCAGTGTTGTCTGCTACTTTGCAGAAGTATGCTTCAAGTCACATTGCGCCATGATTCAGCTGGCGCTCTAGCACCAAGGTGGAGGACGAGCTGAAGTCGTGCTTGGATCTGAGCAAAGAGGGGTGCAAACTTGCTATTAGCATGATTGCTAGCCGCAAACAGATTTTGATGTTTCTCTGAGGCCAAGCAGAGCTCCAAGCGGAGCGTGCCTTGAGCCAGCGGGAATCCATCGCTGCGGCTTCCCTGGAGGTGCTGGCCTCGACGTTCAGCTCGGTTGACTGAACGTGTTCTGGCACAGATGGCTTTTCTTCCTGCTCACAGGCACAGCTTGTTGCGGAGCGGCGGCGCGAGAACCGAGTGGAGAGTGAGGCGGGTCCGGGAAGTTCGGGTGCCAAGGGCAACTGTGGGAAGCACAGGCCGCAGCCCAGCAGATGGCCATCCAGCGTGCAGAAGCCGAGACCAGAGCCTGGGTCCGCATTTTGCATGCTAAATGATAAGTACGGTCTTTCAGTCTACAGAGTCTACAGGGACAAGACAAGAAGCTTGTGCAATGCGGTGCCTGAGGGATGCAGCTGGAATCGGCTCGACAGCTCCGAATCGAGGCTTTCAAGGCAGCGCAGGAAGCGCAGCACTTGAAGCCTCTCTGCTGTGTTACGAGCTTTGCTTGTGCTCGAGACCTGTCGACGCCCTTGTGAACGGCTCCGCACCTCAGGTCTGAGTCCTCAGAGGCAGCCCTTGTCCTGAGCGAGTGCAAGGCGAGAGAGAGCGAGAGCTGACACTCTGCGGTTCGGAGCCAGGGACATGGAAAGAGGTTGACGGACAGAGAAAAAGCCAGAGAGACCAGCACGCAAGCTGCAGGTCGATACGCGCACCGACAGCCACCGCCAGCTGTTCACACCCAGCACCAAAACCAAGGGAAAGAAAAGGAGAGAACAAGAGAGAAAGAGACGGGGTACTTGTCGCTGTTCCAGACCCTCCCATCCATTGACTGTGATTCTGGATGGGGTGTATCACTCGGGCAACCGAGACTGGCGAGCCCTGCCTTAGATCTTGAGCAAGATCTGTCTGACAGATGACAGTGACTAGCGGGTTGGAGTAATGAGAGTGCTTATTCAACCACATGTTTTGGTCGAGTAGCGCGGCAGAGGCAACTCCTAGGTAGACAGCAAGATTGTGATCATGGAGTTGTGATCGCAGCTGTGTGTTGTTCAAGCTGTGCTGTGTGCCTCTCTGCTGCACTCTTGTCGTCCACCAGTGACCAGCAGTGCAGGAGTGTAGGTGAGCCTCAGGTAGAGAGAGCCTGGGGGGATAAGGGCAAACCGGTGTGTGAGTCTGCGTCATCTGTCTTCTCACGCCGACCTTTTTCTCTCTCCAGTGTGCGGAAACGCGGGGGGGAGCTGAACTCGCAGCTTCCCTTCGCCTGTAGAATGTAGAAGCTCTAGAAAGCGGGAGTGTGGGGTCGCTCCTCCACGTCTTGCCTTTACGAAAGAAGGATCCCCCTCACCTTGGGAAAGAAAAAGTGAGAGAGTGTGGCAGGACGGGAGAGAGATAGAGAGAGAGAGAGAGAGAGAGAGAGAGAGAGAGGGAGAGGGGGCATGTCGCAGAAGACACAGTCGCGGACCGTGGAGGGGTTGGCCTTCGGGCCGGGGGTCTTGACCCCAAACCCCCAGCAAGCAAGCAAGCAAGGGGGCATGCTCATGTCACGGCATTGTCTCACAATAGCCAAACGGTCGCGCTAGACAGTCAGGCCCTGGCAACGAACGGGGAGGGGCGGAAGTTGAGGGCAACACCCTGTCCGGTAGGCCTGCGCCACGCACGTGGAGAGGGATGGGGGGCTTGAACCAACTGCTTCCTCCATGGACGGTGACTCGTGTGAGTGCTGGGATCACTGACATCTACTTGTGTAGTTAGAGGTGTTTAAATGTCTGTGTCGCGCAGACTTGCGCCGCACAGGCAGCTTTGGAAGAGCATGATGCAGACGAAGAGAGGCAGAGTGAGCTGGTTGAAGAGAACTCCGAGATGGAGGCAGCCCTGACAAGTGCTACTTGGTATGAAGATGGTGTGGACGCTGCATGCAAAGCTGCTTTGCGCTGTCCTCTCTGCTCCTGAGGAGACAGCTATCGTTCACGAGTTGCGGAGTCTTTGCACCTCAGAGTCCAAATGCTACAGCGTTGCTATGCATGATACCTGGCGTGAAGCATCGTTTCTCAATCGTTGTGGAAGCTTTGAAGATCAAGAGAACGGAGAGACCCCTCAGGAATGTGATGCATTACGACGAGAGCTGCATGACCTCACTCGCATCTTCCCAGTGCCAAGTCCTGGTCAAGCAGCAGGTGGAAACTTGGATGTCAATATGATCAACATGTCAAAGCGGCGGCTTGAGGAGTCGGGATAGAGCATTTTGAGGTACTGCTTGTAGGGAAGGTGTTTGGAGGCCAGGTTATCCTATTTTAAGTCCGCCAACCTCCACGAGCAACGCAAGCGGACGAAGTCCTTCCAGCATGGCAAGATGACCGCCAACTCCGCCTGAAGGCGATGATGTGGGCTTGAGTGCGGCGAACTTCCTGGAGAATGCCGACCGATTGTTTGCCACACCTCTTGGCGGAGAGCCCTTGCGGCGATGGGCTGTCGGGTGGCCTCAGATGCCCTGGAAGCACGACAACTTCACTTCCACCGAATGTGCCGAATGGATTGCCGGGACGGACACGAGCGGCACGTCGAAGAGAGAAGAAAGCACGCTCCGAGCCACCTCAGCATCGGTTATTCGCATGGCAGAAGTGTTACGCAGCGAAGGCATGATAAAAAGGGCCATGCCACAAGCGAGTCAGACACTCTTGCAGCCTTTGGAGTTGTCCAGCAGTGCAGATTATCTTCGACTAAGCCTGGCTAGCTAGGTAGATCTCGATAGAACTCTTGCCTCACAGCACAAGCTTTTCGTTTCTATCCCTTCTCCTGGTGTTGGTGGTGTAGCAGACGTGTGTGCGCAGTAACATACGGTAACGGCGCTGCCTGACGAGGCTCCGGGAGCTTTGCCTGCAGGCGACTGGCCAGTCGGACCCTTTGCTGCGCGAGCCGGTCTTGGAGTGCCCGGACCGCACGACATGTTCGAGCGACAGCGCATGTGGTTTTCTGCACGTTTCCGAGTGGTGTTCGTGTCGACTCGAACTGCACCTGAATCGGCGCATCCATGTAGGCGGCAAAGCAGTTTGGGCGACAAGCTCACCGCCGCAGTGCTGCAACAGCTGGACTTTCGGAGCAGCCCTGACTGGCTGCCGCTCGCAAGAAGGTGCGCAAACATCTGAGTTCAACCAGTGTCTGACATCTTCCATGCATCGCACCAAACAAACCTCGCATGTCACTCGGGTGTCAGTGTTTGGAAAGCAGATGCGAGATAGAAGTGCGACGCTCTAATTGCTTTCCGGGACAGGAAAGTGACGGAAGTGACGGATTTTCTATGGTTTTTATCATGTTTTATCAGGAGCAGCCTTTCTTGCATCGCCGCAGCCGCCGGCGAGGATGCATTTGTCATCATTGCGTTTTCGTTCCGCCTGAACCCTTCGCCAGCTACAGCCGGAACCCGTGCCAGAAATAGGTGGGGCAGCTTGTAAGAAGACGTCGATGTCTCATTCGTCTTTCGTCCGCAGTTGCATCGGTGCTGTACTCCATGTTGTGTGGGGTGCCGCTACCTGACTATCAGGGGTATCGGCCTTGTAGTTCCCCGAGACAGCAGTTGAAGTTCAAGGCCCGGGCCCGGGGCCGGGCTCTGCACCGCAGGAGGATGTGACGAAGGCTGCAGATGGAGAGCTCATCTCCTCCGCCATTGATGCATGGTGCGCATCTTCGCTGGAGCCCTGGCAGCACAAGGCCGGCCCAGGGTTTGCCAAAGGCTGAACATGTCCTGATCATCTCGCTGATAGTTGTTTTTGGCGGTTTTTGGCCCAGGTTGCGACCGTTCTTCTGAGCCGGGGGGTTGTGCTTCGAAGTTCGCCATCATGGCACGGGTACCGTTTTGTTTTGTCATTTTCCCGTGTTTGTTTCGTGGTTATGGTTGGGTTCAGCGGCGAAGGAGACAAAAGGCACGTTGGAAAGAAAGAAAGAAAGGAAGGACCGCAGCAAAAAAGAAGGAAAGGCATGAAAGAAAGAAAGAAGGACAGACAGAAATAAATAAAGAAAGACATAAAGAAATAAAGCAATAAAGACATAAAGAAATAAAGAAATAAAGAAATAAAGAAAGAATAACGAAAGAAACAACAGAAGAACTAAAGAAAGAAAGAAAAGAAAGAAAGAAATAAAGACTCAAAGACTGAAATAGCGAAAGAATGAGCGAAAGAAAGAAAGCTCCAAGAAAGAAAGAACGACAGAAAGACATAAAGAGAGGAAGGACGAAGGAAGGAGGGAAGGAAGAAAGGAGGGAAGGAAGGAAGGAAGGAAGAAAGAAAGAAAGGAAGAACGAAAGAAAGAAAGAGGCGTAGCCATTTGGCTCCAAATGAGGTCAGACTAAAACAAGCCAGATTCTCGAGACGAGTTACCGCTGAGAGGCTTGTGGAAGCCCGAAACCCGAAAAACTAACACCGAAAGCCAAACAAAACACAAAATATAATTCCAAATAGACGAGGAGGACAGGCAGGATCAGGCACCCATGTTCCGAAAACCACAAGAAAAGCAAGCACAACCAGAACAAACGTTGCAGCAACAAATCAGAAAAATTGTCAACAAAAATCTTGGCTCCCAGTTGGCACGGCAGAGGGGGACCGACGGAGGAAGCACCGACACTCGGACTAAGGTGCCGCAGGGTGCCGGGCGCGTCGTCGGTGCCGAGTCCTTCGAGGTGGGTTCGGGGAAGTCGAACACAGAGGAACTGCTTCCCCTTGTCCTTAAACACAGGCACTCCCTAAGCCTGGGAAGAACTTGCCAAACCACGCTTGCATGGACCGCCAATCTTTTGCGACGGATTCTGCGTGCAGCCTGGGGGAGTGCTAGGCTAGGAGTCTGTTGGCGAGACACGAAGTGCAAAAAGTTGTTCCAATCGTGACACTCACCATGTACACGAGTCAAGGCAGCATGTGGACGGTGACCACCAGTGCTGTGCTTCCGGGATTCAGGTCGCCACTGCCGCAGCCCCTGCAGCCGCAGCAGCCCTGCGTCCTATCTTCATGGCGCCTTCGAGTGGAGAACCACAAAGCTTCTGGATCTTAAGGCTCTGTCCTGAGTTAGCTGGTGGATTTTCTTCGCCAGGTGCACGATCGGTCGAACCATGCAGAGCGTGGTGCTCTCCTGCAGCTGCTGAGACTCCTCGAGTCGAAAATGCTGTGAGAGGGGTGCAGCCAACAGTTTCGAGACTTGGGAGAGCTAGAGTCCGCTAGAGCTTTTTCAGGCCCAGGAGGCTTCCCTGGCGGCCCTCAAGCTTGAGATTGCGGAAGCATCTTCGACCTTGGAGGCCGGAAGACTGCGTCTTCCTTGAAACCATGTTTGCAACGGCTTTTTGGGGAATCGGATGTAATGTATACCGACCCTTCAGACAGCCACCCGACAGGCTGCGCAGCAAGAGACCCTGCTCGACACCCAGTCACAGTTCATGAAGACGTGCTGCGTACTTCCGGACCTGCACAAAGGCTGTGGAAGCAGAGGGCAGAGATTCTTTTGGGCACGAGTCTCAGCATGTCTCCATGCCAGGGGGCTGAGCCATGTGCGTGCACCACAGCGAGAGCTTGTGCATGGGCATTTACTTACAATGCCAGAATCAGCATCCGGGAGAGTGCTTAGGCAGACGCAAGGCGGCCATGGCAGTGGCATCTCGCTGGCATGGTGCCGATGCCGCGCAAGCCTGAGCAGCTTGGGCAGTGCTGACGGCTGCTCAGGGTGTAAAGTGTGAGGCATGTGGTCATGTAAAGACACTTCGTAACAGCATGCAAAGTCTGCAGCACCTGAAGCTCGAAAGGCGTGGGACTGGCTGATGGAGCAAGGACAAGGGTCAGCCCAGCTTGTCATGTTGCCACACATGGCAGATGAGAAACGGCCAAGTCGGCTATATGAGGCCCCAGGAGCTGCAGGACCTGCTGCCGACTCAGCCGAAGTCGAAGCGCACCGAGCCTCTCGTCGTGTGCCATGCTGAGGCCCGAAGGCACTGAACTTCGCCTGCAGAACCGAGAGCTCTGCCTGTCGCTGCGCCAGTTCAAGCAGGTGACACTGAAAAGGAAAATATCCTTTGAGTGTATGGAATTATGGAAAGCCTTGTTTGTTCAGGATTGCGAGTCGCTGGAGGCCGAAAACCTCAGCCTGAAGGAGGCGAGTCCGTCTCGTGCTCTTTACAGTCTCGGCGTTTCGGACTCCCGCATGGAGAGCACGTGAGCTTTCGAAGGAATCTGGTGTTTCAGTGCTGTTTGGGATAGGCTTGTGCCGCACCTAAATGGCACTACAACCATCTACCCGGAGCGTCGAGCTTCTGTGGCTTGTCAGCTTATGAAGAATCGAGAATGTCAGGCATTGGCTTGCATGGAGGATGACCTGCACAGGGTGCTGGCCCTTGTTTCTGGAAGATTCGTGCAGCTGCAGACTTGCTTGAAAACAGCTAGGGCGCCCAGGAATCTTGTAAGAGGTGGAACCAACAGGCTATGGGGCTGGAGGGTCAAGGAGTCGGCAGCTACCAAGCAAAAGCCGCTTGGATTCTTAGATTCGATTGGTGCCGGGTGGCCAAGCTCAGGGTTGATTGTGTCTGCCACAGGCAATCGCCTCAGAGCTTAATCTGTCAAACTCGTCACAGCATGGCAAGCAGTGGTCATGGACCTCTAGTCACACCAGTGCCGTCACATGTGGCATACTCGACGCGCATCCAGATCTCTATCCAGACCACCTAGTGAGAGGATCCCACCAGACGGAGAACGAGTCACTGTTCGCCCGTTTAATATTCAGAATAAACTTCCCTAGTTGATGGGTGAAGCCACGACACCGGGACAGAACCAGCTCTCTCCCTCCATTCCTTGCGTGACGCCTTTCCCTCAAGGTGTCGGACCAGCATGCTCAGTTGGTGGGCCACGTGAACCACCGTCAAAAAATCCGTGGTGGCCCCGGGGTATCAGCCCCATCGTCGACCTGGCGTGGCACTCCTGGCAGGCTACACGATGAAGCTGAAGGAGGAAATCAACCGTTTGCACGGTGATCTCAAGAAGGACAGAGCTCGAATACTGCTTGAACGTTGTGTGGGGTTCACAATAAGTAGTTCTTATGCATACGGCTCACATGTTCACATGTCATGTATTCATGCTGTTAGCGATGTCACTGATGCTGCTACTCTGAAGGCTGATCTTGCATTACCCATAATACCCCTGCTCATCCAGCCAAGCATAGTTCGACATTGAATTCCTTCCGGGTGGGAGTTCGGCCAAGCCGCCTTAAGCCCCAAGAAATCCCAAGTGTTGAGCTTGGGTTCGGTTGTATAGGTCGCCGGTTTCGCGAACCGACACAGATACCGGCTGCGTTCTAGTGCGGGCCTGCAGCAGGGATGGCCTGGGCTGAATATGCCCGTCGGACTCGTTTTGGAGACCTCGCCTGCCTGTAGTTGTCAGTGTGCGAGTCGAAAGCAGTTCAGTTCAGGGGACATCGATGGGGCCTCGGCTGGAAACGCCGAGTGGTGATTGGTGGGATTGTGAACCCTGAAGCCCACAAACCACAAACAAACAAACAAACAAAAACAAACACACACACACACACACACGCATGTAAACCCTCACCGGTAACTCGACGTTTATGACACAATCACAGCATGTCAGGCGCGGCAGCGAATCGTTCAGCTGGAAGTGAACAAGGAGAGTGACAGCCTTTTCGAGGCCTTGGCGCTCGGGCCCCAGTGGCAATGCCGAACAACAGCCGGAAGCCCGAACAACAACAACAGCAACAACAACAACAACAACAGCAGAAACACTGACAATGGTAAAGTTTCCAGCGCTATTACCTTAGTGCGCTGAGGAGTGGCAGTGAGGAGGGGCACTAGCAGTAGCAGGAGCAGAGCAGCAGTAGCAGCAGTAGCGGCAGTAGTCGTAGTCGCAGTGGTAGTCGGTTGCAGTAGGTAACAGGTAGCGGTAGATAGTACTAACTAAATGTCAGTAGTAGATAGGCGTAGATAGTCGTAGCTAGTAGTAGCTTGTAGTAGATAGGTATCGCAGATGGCAGATCTTGGATTGTAGTGGGTGGTAGTACATACCACTAGAGTAGATGGCAATAGATAGTAGCAGTAGTCGTCGTCGTGGTCATCGTGGTCGTTGCATTTGTCATAGTAGTCGTCGCCGTAGTAGTCGTAACCGTCGTGGTAGTAGTCGTAGTCGTAAAGTAGTCGTAGTCGTAGTCACAGACATAGTACTCGTAGTACTGCTAGTAAGTCCCAGACGAAGAATTGTTTTCATTTTCAAGTCACTGCGGATTCTTGCCTGGCTCGGCAGCGACCTTGATCAGCGTTTGCTCAAGCAACTCAAGCATGTATGATTCTTAGCCGAAGCCGGGCCCCTCCCGAATCAGGGCTGTGCTTCTGCCATTCACGTGGCATGCCGAGTTAGGGAACGAAAGCACGCGCGGACTTAGTTCCACATAGGCGGAGCCGTCGTCAGCCATGGGGGCAAATTGCCAATGCGGGACCAGTGCAAGTTCGGAGGACGTGGTTTGTTGTTCCTGAGTGTTTCGATTTCGTGATTCCTGCCTTGATGCTGGTTTCTCAGCAGTCGCGGCGTTGTGAATGTGTCATGCGTGGTTGTCATCAGGAGGCTGTCAAGCTTACTCCTCGAAGTACGGACGCTGTCAGTATCTACCCTGCCAAGGCTTGCAGTCGTCGCGTGGCATTGCCAGGTTGCACTGTCTGGAGAATCCAAGTTGTCATGCCCGAGCAGGTTCCGGAGCCTTTCCAGGTTTTGCAGGGTTCATGGTGCACGGAAGCAGACTTACAAACGATGGGTGCTGGACCGAGGATGTTGCAGCACGTAGAGGAACGCAGCAGTACTGCAGCAATTGCCGAGGCACGATAGTCGGCACGGCCATCATTTGGGACAAGGTCTTCAACCTCGACCAGTCATCACTGAGGATTGCCGCCCTTGTTCATGCGACATGACGGGAAAGAGTCTAGATGGAAACTAGAGAGTGCTGTCCAAGGGTGAATGCCGACGGAGAGTTTGAGATGTCTCTGAGCGGGACAATTCACAAGGCAGGGACGACACTTACCTGTGGCATCCTAGGGCCTAGGGCCTCGTCGTATCTTTGCGACATCCTCCGCAGAGCTGCAGGCGAGACTTGACTCTACTCGTGGCCGGCTTCTGTGGAGCGATGGCGAAATCTGGGACTGGCTCTCAGTCGCACCCCATGGCCCAGAGCTCCTCGATCTGTTCGGGAGTGCAGGTAAAAAGATGAGCCGCCAGGGGCCGCCTGTGGTCTAGTAGGACTCTGAGTGCTTTGCCGCGTCTCGCGGATTGCCTGGCGCAAAGCAAAGAACATGGTTGAGGACTCGAGAGTGGGAAAGTGGAAGGGGGCCTGAGGCAGGAAGCGTGCCACGGAAAGTAGATGGTTTTCCCCTGGCCCCTCGGCGATGTCCATAAGCAGGCTTGTCATAATAAGCATGCAGCAACAGTAACCGGGGACTGCAGCCGGGAGCCGAGTAATTCGTGAGATCACGTGAAGCGTCGTCTCACGAGCCGAAGCTCCGAAGCCTGACCCATCGTGGCCAAAATGTCTCGCGCAAAATCACGGCCACCGTGTGCACCGGCCTCGAAGCTGCGCCATGTTGCAGCGATCACAGGTCAGTAGTGGGTGGCGAGTCGGCAGCTCAGAAGTCTAGCCTTTGCTGCTTCTTTTGCCATCTGCATCTTCTGTCCAGCGTGCGAGACAGAGAGGTCGTACACCACCGCCAGCAAAGCTCGTCGAGGATCACGCCGCCGCCTCGGAGCTTGCAACGGCAGTGCACGTTCCGCGAACAAGTGTTCTAGATTGCCAGGGCTGGCGACAAGCCAGCGCCGTGCCGTCCCCAGCGCCGCACGGTTCTTTGCACAAACTCGGCTGTGACCGCAGCTTTGCAGTCGTAAGCCAGGAGGGTCTGTTGCGGCGACACGGCCGCCGAGACGAGGCATAAGCATGTGCAATCATGTGCCGCATGATTGTGGCTCCTAAAGTGGACGAAAAGTTGTGCTGGAGCAAATCATCGTAGCCTTGCTGGCAGTGTGCTCATGACAGAATGTTCAAGCATAAGCCGCGGGATCCTGATCATAAAGAGCTGGGCATCAACAGAACAATCGACATCTGAACTTCATACTCTCCTTGCGCGGGCGTAGGTGGTCAGACAAGGTCTCGACTTGTTAGAGGAAGTATGGAGCAGTGGACGGCAGACTGAAAGCAGCGGGTGTCGTGTGGCATGCCGTCGGATAAGTGAAGTGGATGGGGATGGCCGTGCATGTGCTCTTCAGGAGAAGTTGTGAGCCGTGAAGACGATCAGGTGCGCAGCGTCCTTGGTGCAGAAGCCCTCAGGGCATGGCCTTGAGACGTGAGTGTGCGATGTGCATGTTGCCTCAAAGCCTTCTAAGGCTTGGCTGAAGCAGAGCAGCTTTGCATGCTGCAGCAGAGCGCGCTGGACCGGATCAGTCTGCTTCAAAGTGTTTGACTCCACATCTCCGTGACCTTCAGCCAAGCATGCCTTCTCATCTGACTTGCTCAGCCACCTTGCTCCCTCGTGACTTCTCAGGCATGGACTTCCAGCACTTGAAAGCAACATGGCAGCAAAAGCAGGGTGTTTGAGGGTGTTTGATCGGCTCTTGAATGCTGTGCCATCCCACACGCCGCCCCTATCAGGCAATCCGCATGCATGTTGCTCCTTGGGTAGGCTTTGAAGGGAAGTCAAATTTGAGCCAAGTCCAGGCCCTCATTGAGCGAGCCGGGCGCCTCAGAATCGAGAGTGACTTGAAGTGGATCTAAGTGTACCCAGTGCAGCATGTACGGGCAGCCCGCGGAGTAGACAACAAAGTGAGGCAAGGCATGCTTCCACTTTGAAGGCTGTAAGCAGAGAAATTAAAACATCTGCGATCCTGGCGGCTTTCGGTGATTTTTCACGGCGGAGCCTTGAGGCAGTGCAGCTTGCAGATGCCGAGCGACGCCATGGTCGTAGCCTCAAAACGATGCCGGGACCTCTAGGGTTGCAGACGCCCCTTGTGAGGCGTTGAAGGAGGGAATTTCGCAGCCCTCCTCCATCGCCTGTTGAAGCCCAAGACGGTCTCATGACGCTTTTCGGGGTTGCATCTCGGGTCCTCATCCAAGGCGTGAAATCATCGCGGCTAATCATCGGAATCCATCTTCCGGAGGCATGCTGGGTCCTGGAATTGGGCATAGCTGCAGCATCTCCACCGAACTGGCACAAGCAGGAAATACCGATGATCTTGGAAGACTGCCAGTGACCGCCACATCCGTGCGCCCTGATATAGCCTTTCGACAACACCGGGTCAGGTCATGTAGGTGAGGCAGGAGTGTATGCAGACTGCACAGATCACTTGTGATGATGACGACGAAGAGCTGGCAGAAGGAGACACAGTGTGCCCGCTTCTGAGCCGTTCAAGCCGAAGTCTCTAGTCAGCAGCAGGGGACTGTTGACATTCAGCGCGGTCGTAATCGTCTCGCAGAGCCTTCGTTACACTCCCAGGCTACGGCTGCCCTGAGCAACAAGACCATGCCGTCGAAGAGCTCGGATGAGTTCCTTGAGCGTTTTCGGCCAATTCAAGAACCTTTGCCAAAGTCACATACAGCTGCTTGACTTAGTCGACCTTGGTTCGTGGCCAGCTAAACATGCTGTGTTAGCTTCTGTAGGTCACTATCAATGCAAGCAGGCAGCTGGTTAATTCAAGTCAAGTGCCAATTCGTTGTGTTGACAGAAGATCTGCTTCGCCATGGTGTCATACAAGCTATAAGCCATGCGGTCCTGCATTGTTATCTTTCCTCGGACATGCCGGCAGATCATGCAAATGAAATTACGCTGACTTGCACCGGCTTTGTGACAGACCGTGTCTCCATAACCGGCCCAAGAATGTAAAGAGGAGACAGTCAACTCGCAAAGGAGAGCGAGAGAGAGAGAGAGAGAGAGAGAGCCAGGGCGCGTGCGCGCGCGGGGTAGGTGGGGTCCGCCTGCCTACTCTTGTCTGTGTGGAAGAGCGAGAGAGAGAGAGAGAGAGAGAGAGAGAGAGAGAGTGGCTTCAGGGTGGTTCACTAGTGTACTAGGAAGTGGTTTGAAGAGTTTGATTCCCTCGGACCGCATCGAACAGAAGTGTCACACAGTAACCGAGACTCACAGTGCGCGCTTGCGTGCGGGGGGGAGCGACTGCTCTTCCTTTGACTGTGTGGAAGAAGAAGACTGGCTTCAGCGACTTTACGCTTCAGTCGGTGCATCTGCCGACCTTACCACCCCTGGCCACTTCTTGACCGGCATTGGCCCCAGGCCTCGTGCGACTAGATCTAGCTTATCCCTGCACGGCTTGTTCTGCATGAGTCATGGCTGCTCAGAGCCGCAACGCATTGTGGACTCCCCTGCTTCAGACCATATTCAGACTGCAGCGAACTGCACGGTCCCACGGCCCTGTCCATTTCGCAGTTTGGCCTTTGCCTGTTCAACCGGACTGTCACGCAGCGAAGGTGCAGAAGCACGCTAGCCTGCTCTCCTCGAGACTTGCTCAGGGCACGCAAAAAGTACTTGTTGGAGACAGCCTCAAACTGTCATTGGCCCGGCCGAACACGACTCCGGACACGGTGCAGAATGTCCCGACAAACAGGGGTTCCCCCTAGGCCTGAACCAGTGCTTCTGCCGCACTGCCTCATCTTCAGATTCAGCTTAGACTCTGGGCAAGGCATAATCTCGGGGCAGCGGCGCCTCTTCAGGGGCAGATCCTCTTCCATTCAAGCCCCTGAATCTTGTGTACTATCTAGGGTTTGTATGTAGATCTGCTTGAGTTGTTTTGTCGGCAGAATGTCCTTCGCAGTGATTGGGGCCTTGCCGTAGTATTGTCAGCATGTCTCCTCGATTCAGGCTATATATGAGGGAGGCCGGGCACCGACAGTCTGCAAAGTTCATGGAAATAGTGTCCCTCGGCACCGTGGCCGCCGCAGCGCAAAACTTGGTGAGCCGCAGACAACGCTTAGGATCTGGCACCTCAAAGTTTATGACAACATCCAGGGCCTGACAAAAGCAAGCCTTACACTGGACAAGAGAAGGTTCGGCATGATATTGACACACCTCAGATACAAAAGCAGCCGGAGATCCAAGCAGGAAAGAGCAATTCAGCAAAAGCTAAGTCGGGAATCTGGATGCCACGGCAAAGCCAGGAGCATTTGAGCGCAGATGCATAAGACAACCCTGATGGCATGGCTTCGCTTTCGGTGACGTAATCGGGCGGTCGAGCAAGATGATGTGCCTTTTTAAGCCGAACACATACGATCCGAAAGATTGGCAGTGCCCCAAGCCAAGCTGCAGGACCGTGAACTTCAAGAAGAGGCTTACGTGCATTTCTTGTGGGGCCCGGAAGCCAGATGGGGCGAACAGGCCCTTGGATGATTGGCGAGATGGGGAGAAGACAAGCACCGGTCCTTGGACGTGCGACGCATGCGGAACCAAGAATGAAGGCGGCGCTATGTATTGCATGCAGTGCAAAATGCCGTCTCCGGACATGAAACGAGCCATTGAAGAGGAGAAGGCTCAGAGAGCTATGGATGAAGGCAGGGGTGGCGGCTTGTTTGATCGCCAAGACCCGAATGATAGAAACGACTGGGACAGCGGAGATGAAGAAGTGGACGAGTTTGGGCGCCGCAAGAAGAAGAGTGCCGCCGCGAAGGCGAAGCCGAAGGCATCCAGCCAGCTAGCCGACAAGCACAAGGCAGCACTGGAAAGGCTGAAAAACAAGCATGCGGCCAGCAAGCGCGATGAGAGCCCTGGCCCAGTCGAGAAGTCTGAGCCACCGCCTTCCAGAGAATCCCGGCGGCCTCGGAGCCGCAGCAAAAGTCGAAGCCGCAGCCGCCGGAGAAGCCGCAGCCGAAGGCGTCGCTCGCGAAGCCGCAGCCGAAGGCGTCGCTGACCCCGACGGGAGCAGGACAGCCGACCAAGCCATCATCATGTCATGACTAGGTCCAGGCACATGCAAGGATTGCTGGGGCACATGGCGGCAGCTTTTCCTGCCAGGATGCCTGCCGCCAAGGCCGCACACCCAAACTGTAAGCGTGGGCTTGGGCGTCGAATGTGACCGCGCACAATGCCTCTGACGGCTTCAAGCGTTTTGGCTCGAGTAGAGCAGAAGCCAACTTGACGCTTCCATCGTGGTCTGCGGCCATTGAAGGTCCGCCGGTTAGAAGATAAAGGTGGCTTTGGTTTTCCGCATAGCCTCGAACTTCCGCAGGAGAACTACAGGCAAGGGGCAAGAGATCATGGTTCTCTGGAGAGTGGCATGGTGGCAGAGATAATCTTGAGCGATCTTGAGCGATTGCCTGTCCTGATTTTAACCTCGGTGTGCACGTGAGGCACTAGCCAGACGGACTACATGTCGACGTTCATTCCAGCCTCCGGTCGGACGAGGCGCAATTGTAGGGTTGACGGAGTCGTGCTAACGGTTCTTGTTGCAGGCGGCAGCCTCTCGATGATCAGATGGAGCTCGTCAGGAGCCTCGGCCGCAGTGTATCTGTCCTGCAAGCGTCAGCCGAGAGGCAGTTCAATCACTGCAAAGACGAGTGAGGTATGGATATGGAACTTCTCAAGACAGAAATTGTCGATGATGTAGCTGTTGTGTGGCCCACAGTTTAAACGATCTCCTCGGCTTTGTGAGTGGAGTTTCCACAATCCTCCCCAAAGCATCGACTGAAAAGGTGAGGCTTCTTGCTCCAGAGGGACAGTTTCCGTGGGGTACTCGCATCTTCGAGCACCGCCTAAACCCCCTGCTGATCCAGCAGGCACGGCCGCGTCTCGGCCAGTGGCCAGTGCAGCCCTCCACGCTCCCGAGTTTCACAGGTGAATGCGGCCTTGGACGTGGCGGAGAGAAACGGCGTGAATGCGCTCACAGTGATAGGCTGGGACGGAAAGTCGGTAATGGTCGGTAGTCAGAGTGTGAGTCTAGCAGCGAGTGACACCCTGTCCCGAAGGAGATGGGCGTTTCTTCTGCAACGGCATGGACCTGCAGCAATCGGGCGCAATCTCGAGTCTAGCAGTCTAGCGACTCTTGCGACTTTGAAGATTGTCCTCCGACAAGATTCCGTAAGGTACATCTCTGCAAATGTGGCGGAGTCCACGAAGATCCAAGCTGACGCTGAAAAGCTCATGTCCCGCCCAGGGCTTACAGGTCGATAACTTGGACAAGGGCTGATGCAGCCCGAGCTGTTGCCTCAACACCTAGGAATCCTTACATTCGGCGTGCCGACAGTTGCTGCAATCAATGGGCACATCACGGCGGGTGGGGCCATGCTCGGACTGGCTTTCGACAAGCGCCTCATGCCCGCTGACTCCCCAGGCTCTAAAAGTCCGAGAGAGGCCACAGGAGAGCCCTGGAATTCTGAGACGAAGGAAGTCTGACATGGAACTGTCAGGGCTTTTCTTCGTGCCTGGCATCGACATTGGCCTGGTCTACTCTGCTGGCATGACTGAGTTGATGTGTCTTGCCAAAGGGAAGGTGCTGGCGAGATGCGCAGAACAGAGCGGGTCAAAGCATCACTCTAGGCCGAACGAAGGCACCCGAAAACAAAGCAGAACATGCATGAGAGCAGCCACCGCCGAATTCTCTTTGCAAGCTCGTGCTAGCCAAGAGTCCAGGTTTTGGTAGCCTGCGCTGAGGAAAGCAAAGCTCCCTTCGACCATGTGGAACGATGCTGGGCTGCCCTGGAGCGATAGATGTCCCGCTGCACCACTGGCGCCTGCTGGCCAGGACACCCTCTGCATGGGAAAGCGATACCAGTCCGCGGAGCTCAAGGCAAACAGCGTCTCCCTTGCAGTGGCCGGGGATGGTGGCCTTTGAACCTGGGCTCCAGCAGAGCAAAGCTAAGGAGTATTGGAGGAGACTCCGGCAGCCTCGGAGTTCTTCGACGTTGCTCTGCAGTTGGCCAAGTCCCTGAAGAGCAAGGGCAAAGATCCGAAGACTCGCGTGACACAGTCGCAACCAGGAATGCCAGGGAGGCAGAGCTTTGCGAAACTGAGTGTCTCAGGAGACCATGCATGGCATCAAGAACAATCTCTACAAGGACGCCTTGCTCTTAGCCTGTGAGGCCTCTGTGACCAACACTTGCCTCAGAGGACGCCGTGGCACTGCTTGGGCAGAAGGTGCAAGACATGGGCTTTGCCGACGGAACCTTCGATGCCACCGGCAGACCCCGCAAGTCTTAACGACCGGTCCGATTCTTTTCCACCTCGGTTGCCAACTTTTGGGATCCAGACCTCGAGAGTTTGGATGTACAGTCAAGTGCCAGCCTGTACAGCGCTGCACAGAAGCAAGCGGTGATCAAAGATGTCACGTGTGCACACCAGACATTTAGGCTGTATGCCACGGTTTGGAATGCAACGTTCCCAGGCTCGGATCAGGCATATGTGGCAGGCTCCGCGAACTCTGCGAGATGGAAAAGGGAACTCAATGCCTGAGGCCTTGGCCTAGGCCCAGACGTCTGCACACTATGTGGTAGGCAGGAATGCAAAATGCAGTTGCAGGCTGCGACGCCTGAGGGTGCTCTGGAGCAGGTCTCTTGTCGCAGTGTGCAGCATCATTTCGGGAAGATCTATAGGAGGACCTAGATCCGATCTACATCCTGCTTGTCGATGGCTTGCACTGCGACCGTCGGACACGGGATCCACCCTGTCCGTTAGACCATGCTGCGCTTGGGGGTAGGGCGATGGTGAGACTGCCAGGCCTCGGAAGAATGATCCGCCATAGCCATAGCTGTTCTCCTGAAACTGCGTGCTCATCCCTTCCTCAGCCTTGACTTGAACCGCGGCCGTCCAGCTTCGAAACCGGAGCAGAACCAGCAGATGGGCTTTTGCCACTGAAGCTGGGCTGCATGAAGGGAACAGGAGCTGTGCGGGCCTAGAATAGGCCGTAGGGCCGTAGGGCCTAGGCAATAGCGATGCATCGGGAGCCAAGTCGTGAGCTTGTTAAAGGTGCGAGTACGTAGGCCTAGGCTTGCTCGGCTTCGGAGAGCTAAATTCTCTTGCTGCTGAGGCTGACTTGCAGCCATGGCTCAGTTCAGCGACGATGCGTACAACACAAAGTGCCTTGTTCTTGCCAAGTCCTGCAGACATATGATGTGAACATATGTGAAGGACATGCAAGATTTCCCCCCAAAAGAAACCGTGCCAGACAAAGTCGCCTGGCTTCATGAATTGCAAGCATTCGGAAGTAAGGTTGCAGCCGGGAGCAGGGGCAGCGCACCCAGTTCTGTAGTCACGATCGACACATAGAAGCCGGCTGCGGCTACATGTCAGAACTACACCCAAGTGTTGTGGCGCTGCGCAGGCTGGGACGCTTATTGGGAACTGGTTCGAGGCAAATTCCTAGCTCTGCCTGAAGCCGTCAATCCAGCTCTTTCTTGAGAAAGGAGCGCATTCTCCGTGATTCCTCGGGAGAGGGGCGAACTGTACCCCAGCGCCGCGAGCCTTCTTTCGAGTTCAGATACTTCACTTGTGACCTTGAGCATGTGGAGGCCCAGCAGCCCAGCATAGAGTCTCACAGCACCGTCGCTCGAGGCCATGTTCCTCGGTCTGGGCTACTCAAAGACTGGACCAAAGTGCCAACAGTGCCCAGGCATGCCTGCTGTTTTTTCTGGCCCGTTCTTGTCGATCTGGATCCAGTCGCAGGAAGGGCGATGATACCTTCGACCGAGTCTATGGCCCCAAGAGCAGCTTGCAGTGGGAGGCTGCTTCTCACATGATCGGCAAGGCCCCCGCTGTGCAGATCTGTGCAGCTGTTCTCACAAGCCGCCTGTGCAGGGGGACGACTCCACCCCGACGATCCTGCGCGAGGGCCCTCTGACAGTGGCATTGAAAAGCGCGCACCACGACGGCGCGGAGACGGAGGTCCAGCAAGAGGAGCGGGCTTCAAGCTTTGATCATGCTAGTGATGCCGAAACTACGAGGCTGGTAGGTGTGTGCAGATACCGCAACGCCTTTTTTTGTTGCATCATTTGGCATCTGTCGGACAGCGTCTGACACAAGAAGCGGCAAGAAGACAGCGAAGATTTAAGGCAAGAGCGACTGTCGGTTGGCAGGATGCCATCGTCGAAGAAGTCAACCATGCCATGGGTCTCAGTCCAGGTGGTTCTTGTGCAAGGAAGGCTGCCGCTGTAATGCCCCATACGTAGGTGCTGTTTGACCAGACGCCGTGTTTTGGAATTTTACAAGCGTCAATCCACCTGCCTGCACTAGATTCTCCCGCAGCCGGTCATCCGAGGCCAGGTACTTCGAAACTAGCACCGGCATTGCGCATCAGAAGCCGGATTACACGGTTGCTGAAAAGGCCGACTGGGGGCTGCAGGAAGTCGTGGGTATTCTTAGGCACGAATTCGCTGCATCGCCCTGGACAGGCAACTCACACATCGACTCCCGGCAGCATAAGCAGAGCTCACTATTTACTCATGGTTTCCCGATGCAGCCTGTGTGAAAAGCCGAGGAAGAGCTATGCACAAGAAATCAGGTGTGGCCCAGAGCCTGATCAGATGCCAGCCCTAGACAACGAAGGCCTGGAAAGCGATGGTGTTTATCACAGGAGACGTCTCAACACTGGACCTGTCAGGGCTCGAGGTACCCTTCCACGCGCACTACTCGGGTGTGGAGCAGATCACCAACCAGAGGACTGCAGCCTTCCACTTGCGCACCGCTTCCGTCGATTCTTCGGCTTGATGTCAATCCAGGATGTTCCTGGCAGACTCGGAATTTAGGAACAACGTGAAGGCATCAGCCGCAACCGGCAGCAGTCTGAGAGCGTTACCGAGCCATAGCCAGCCGATCTCACCTTCTTAGCTTCATGCTTGTCGCATGTTAGGCTCGGGCGAACCGAACCCGCTGAGGTGTGGGTGCGTTCCACCGCAACTCGGAGTTCACAAAGGCATCTTGCCCTTACCGCCATCCACTCGAAGGGATGGTGACTGACCTTCGAGTTTTCATGCAGGGTTGTGACAAGTTCATCCTGGGCGTGCACAAGGTCGCCTGTTTGCTCTTAGTGCTATACACAATATACAGTGGTACCGTAGCAACAGACAGGACGAGGCGCTGAATGCCATGTACACCGGGCTGAAGGACACCCAGCCGTTGAGGCTGGGATCTGGGAACCTGGCAGCCTCTCTCGAGGGTTTTTGGAGCCTTGCACGAGGCATCTTGGAGGCGAGCTTGCGCCGAACCACTTTGCCGGCATCCCTTCGCTGGCAGCACTGAAAGCTACAATCCATCAGAAGGTGCAAGAGGCCGGGGGGTCTGGGGGCTTGTTGCGTGGGAGCCGTTTAAGCTTGATGCCAAGAGACAAGGTCTGGGGCCCCATGGGCTATGTGTCACTCCGCCAGCGGCTCTTCGACTTCTGTGATCACGAAGGATCGGCTTGGTAAATTGTTCCCGGCTGTGGGAACCTCCTTGCCCCTGTAGTTTGAACAGGTTTCGTTCCGAAGGGCAACGTTGTGGCTGCTGCTCTGCTCATATATGCTCGAATTGAATTTCAGCAGCTATTGGTGGACTTGCATCCCTTTGAACTCCTTGACAGACTGCGACAAGATGGTTCGTCGCCTTGCCAGCTGTATCTCCTGGTAGCTCGGTTTGGCTCCCGAGGTGTTGAGGGAGCAGCTTGGTGTTACGGAGGAGGAGGTGCCAAGCAAGCCCCTGGATGTGGCTCAGCTGCATGCGCACTGCACACCGTTCTTGCAGATCGTTTGTGTCATGACCGCAAGCCGTAGGCCTTAGGCATAGCGGGGCAAAGTTGGTTGCCCTTGTCCAGGTCTGGCTGACGCAGCTGGTCACCATGAAGAAGGAATGTATTCGCTTGCCGGTCCGATGTGACTGTGCTATCATAATGAGGCTTGAGATGGAGCGATGTTTGGCAGGACGAGCTCACAGCTTCGACCTTCATGTCATCCTTGCGCCCTGCGCTTCCGCAGAAGGAGCAGCAATCGTCTCTCCCGACAGTCGTGAACAGTCATGTTGATTCCTGATGGCTCCTAGCCGTTTGAGGTGATCCCAGGCAGACGTGCTACACTGTTACATTACAGTATCAGAGCAGCAGAAGGAGTGAGAAGTAGATGGGTAATTCGTTCGACAGCCGTTGACTCTGTAACTACACATGCAGCCGTTCGAGTCATTTTGCAAGCGAGGTTCCTTGAGCATTTTTTCCGTTGACCGACCGGGTCCCAGAATAAAGTTGCGGCAAATTGTGGCGTGCAACAGCTTCCTTCTGAAAGCTGTGGGCTATGAGCATCTGCGGCTGCCGTGCCGACTTGGTCGACAGTTGGCACATATACACACTCACACACACATACATACATACATACATTGTGCCAAGCCATGACTCTCACTAAGGGCCGCAAAGCCTGTGGGCCAGATGGGCTTCCAGGGGAGCTTTTCAAGGCTATTCCCGCGGCCCTCACGTCTAGTCACGGTCATGCCTCTTGTCCTGAAGCGTGGCCTTCTTGCTGAAGAGGCAGCTGGGCTTAAGAGTGCTCTGCTAACTTGGCTTTACAAAAATAAGGGTGCCCGCAATTGTTGTGCCTCTTGCAGGGCCATCATGTTGCTCCCTGTCCTCACCAAGGTGATACACAGAGCATTCCGGCCACGTATTTATGAGCATGTTGCTGCACATGTCCCTCCCATCCTTCTCGGGGCAAGCGGGGGCCACCGCATGTTTGGGAGTCGCATTGTCAGGCTGTTTTGCCAGTGGAGTGTTGCTAGTAAGAGACCGGCATGCGTGCTTTTCGCCGATGTTGCCTCAGCGTACTACGACTCCATTCGCGACCTGACCGCGAGGTGCTCTGACCACTCTGGCCAGCCTGTGCGTACTTTTGAGCACGCCCCCGAAGCCGCACCCCACGATGGCCTCGTCGCCACACCTTGGCGGCGGATAGCGCCTTCCAATCCAGTGGGGCCTCGCCCTGGCTGGAGTCTCTTGCGGCTGAGCTCCATCGTGGATCCTGGTTGCCCCTTCGGGGAGATCATGTGCCAGTCGTTACACATCGGACCTCACGCCCGGGTTCCTCCGACCTGATGTACAGTGCCGCATAGAGCACATGGCTAAGCGAGATCCCCTTCGCCGGCCACAGATTCCCTGGGATGGCAAGTGTGATCTGTCCCCTGTTACCCATGCCAGCCTTGATGTGGCTTGGGCTGATGACCTAGCAGCCTGCGTTGACCTCACTGCCTCGCGCAGAGCTGCCTTCCAGGTCGCCCTCTGTCCTTCGCGCCGTGCAAGACTGCTGCCGTGGCCATGCTTTGTGGGGAAGGGTCCCGTGCTGCCAGAAGGGACTTGTTCAAACAGTTCCGGCGCCCTCGATGTCTTCCGGGACCACCAGCCCCCGGTGCGCCTGCCCTTGGTTCACTGCCGACACCTCGACCGGCGTCATGGTTGGGTCGACCGGGTCTACTTTCTTGGGCGGGCTCCGAGCTCGCTGCGCCTCAGCCTGGGCTGCCTTTCGACAAGGCTCCGTGCCATTCCGTGCCTACGGTTGTCGCCGTATCACGGTGGCCGCCCAGAGGAACCCTGCTGGCCTCTATGGCCCTCCCCAGGCTCCTGTTTGGAGCTGGCGCGTGGCCCCGCTTGCCATGCCGCAAGGCTTTTGTTGACCGGGTCTTCTGGGCTTGCGCTAGCAAGCTCCACGGACATCGCGCACGGGCCACTGAGCCCACCAAGCGGGTCTCCCCAGGCCTGGCGCAGCGGCTGCGGCAGACTGCCGCAGATCAGCCCGTACGAAGCGGGACGTCTTTGGAGCACCTTCCAACTTGACGGGCATGAGCGCCTCCCGCTCTGCCGACTCTTGCCATCCTGGGTTGCTTGAGGGGCTGTTAGGACTGACTTGCCTGCGCCGAAAATACATCGGCTTGGGAGGTTGTGCAGGATTTTATTGTGCCCATTGAGCCTCTCCGTGGCGCTGTCGAAGCTTGGCACCTTTGCTGGTCAAGTGGCCGCCAACGTGTTGCTCCTTCTCGACCCTACCCTGTGCTGCGATTCTTTTCAAAACCCCCGTGCTACTGTGGACTTCCAGGCGCCTTTCTGCCCCCTGCCTGGGCTGCCTGTGCCATCAGCCTCGATGCTGTGACCCTGACTCTCGACCCTCCGCCCTTGCCTTGCTACCTCTATCCTTTCGAGGGCAGTGCTCCCTTGGCACATACCCTGAGGCATGTGGCACACAGCCGTCCAGACTGCTATGAGCCGTCCAGTTGTCCTTGTGGCCTCCGCCGCGGCCTTGGGCTGGAGGCTTTTCACGGTCGGCTGATGGACTCGCTTCATCCAGCGGCTGCTGTCCTCGCCTTCTTTGTCTCACCATTGAGTTCATTTGCTAGAATCTGACACAGGGGAAGAAAGAAGAAGAATGAATGAATGAATGAATGAATGAATGAATGTATGTATGTATGTATGTATGCATGTATGCATGTATGCATGTATGCATGTATGCATGTATGCATGTATGCAATGTATGTATGTATGTATGTATGTATGTATTGTATTGTATGTATTGTATGTATTGT